AAGAAAGAAAGAAAGAAAGAAAGAAAGAAAGAAAGAAAGAAAGAAAGAAAGAGGAACAACTGAAGAAGAGAGGTGGTGATGGAGGGGGTGGAGAGGAGGAAGAGCGTTCTTACCAGCACATTCCGTCACGTTGCAGTAGTCCCACCTCTGCGTCGCATCCGTGGTGTAGCACCAGGGCCGCTCCTTGTTGTCAGGGTTACGGCAGAAGTTCTCCTCCAGCCCCGCATCAGGATGAGCCTGCGGTGTGTGGGGATGGATGTGGGGGGACTGGGAGTCCCATCTCTGACACAGCCGGTCTCCTGCCCTGTGGAGCGCAGTAGGATACGTGCTGTTAGGATGTTAAAGGATCTATACAATAATCACAACATGAAGTTTTCACATTTGCGGTCCTGTACATCGTCTCAGTTTTTTAAGGTGAGATAAGGAAGTCAAGCGCATGATTTCTGAAATGGCAAGAAGTTCAGAACATTTCTGTTTGCGGTTCAAATCTTACGAAGAGGGTCCTTTTAACATACTAACGCTTCGGTCCCAAAGCTTAAGCAGTGAAGATGACAACGCAATTTGGGTGAACGGTCTGTACAACTGTCTCGCCGGGTTTTGGAAATGCTGTGTCAGTCTTACCTATTTATGTCCCCTGCGTAGCTCCTTCCCTTATCGTAAGTGAAGAAGCAAGTTGTTGGAACGGCTGAAAATGGGAAACAGATGATATATATATATAAATATATATATATATATATATATATATATATATATATATATATATATATATATATATATATATATATATATATATATATATATATATATATATATATGTGTGTGTGTGTGTGTGTGTGTGTGTGTGTGTGCGGTTTCATGATATAATTTCATGATACAATTTCCTGATATATAATGTAATCAATGTAGGACAATTAGCACCAGAACACCGCATTCGTCCAGATCCGCCGGTAGTCGCACTGTTGCCGCGACGTGAAGTTGGATATTATTTCATTGAATATCATGATTGCTGGTGGATGTATGGAACTCGCGTTCTGATAAGAGCAAGATAGAAAGATTAAGCAGAGCTGATACCGTCACAGGCGACGATGCCGTCGCAGTAGCTCCACCTGACGAGAGTGTTGTTGGTGTAGCACCACGGCCTGTCCTTCCCGTCCGGGTTCCGGCAGTAGTTCCGCTCCAGCCCTGCCGACGGGTAGGCCTCGGGAGTGTGATTATGGGCGTGGGGGTACTGAGATGTCCAGTGCTGACAGGAGTGGCCCCGGTTTGCACGGCCCCTGTAGCTTGTCCCTTTGTCCTGGATGTAGTAACAGTCTGTGGACATAAAACATTACACTGTATAGATTGCCTTGTACATCCTACATGTACAACCGGCAGTTGAATGTAGACACAAAGTTAGCAGCCACAAGCATCGTTTTGTCGTTTTCAGTTACAGAATACTAGAAGACTATTTTTGTCCTCCATGATCGCTCCATGACTATTTTTGTCCTCCATGACCACAACGCTCGAAATGAGTTGACTATTCAAACTTCTACAATTTCCATTCTACTAAACTTACAGACAAAGAAAAAACTATTCTTGTTTTAACTTCCCAAAACCCACTAATTTTAGAAAAGGTGGGACATTACGTCTTCCATGGTTTAAAGAAGAGAAGTCAAACCCCTTAGACATAGCTTTAGACATAGATATAGTTTTAGACAACTACCTCTCATTATGTTAATCTTAGTTATTTCATACTCTGTTTCATTGTTCTTTTATGTTTGTAATTTGCAATTAGCCCTCGGGCAAGAATTTGCAATAAAACTTTCAATAAAACTTTCACATGATCTGTTTCTGAAACACGCGACACTTCACATTGCCTTGTTCTCAAAGTCAAGATTCATCATTCACGTGGCCATCGGTTGCGTTTTGGTGCTTTCTGTCTGTTCTACATTTTGCCTTTTCAGAGTGCCAGGCTCAACTGTAATGTTCTAGTGTGTAAAATGGTCTCTGGTGGTTTGAAGAATGGCAAGCTGACCGGTGAGCACGTCCAGATAAAGACTCGTTCACAGTGGCGGGCCTTAAACTATGATCGTAGACCATAATGTATCACGGCTGCATATGAAGTGCATATTTGGAACTGTGGGGTTTCTTGTTCATATATACCTCTCTAGAGACTGCGGTTCTGTTATCAGGTGGATACCAGGCTAGGTCCCCTTGTCGTCGTATGTCATCGTTAGTTATAATTACCATTGTACCTTCTTATAGGGACTACGACCCTCACCTACTCTTCTGTCCACCAGCAAGAGTCACTACATACCGGAGCAGTCTACAGTACTATGGACCTCTTCCGATACAGCAACGGCAGCTCCTCAGTCTTAGGACTTTAAAACAGGTCATTAGGAGCAGGACTTGATCCAGTTGATGTTTAGGATGTTGTATTTAGTGATTGTTTATCTATTGTGTATTTGTTGTGTGTATTTTTATGTGTATCCATGCCAGGATTACCTGAAAGGCAGGCCAAAATGGCTTGAACTGTAATAAATTACTGGTTAAATAAATAAATTGAAATTGACCTTCCTCGTGAATGATTTCGTGCTATAGCTAAGCGTCCTTTTTGATGGGGTTGACACTTGACAGTATTTATTAATGTGTGAAAAACTCACCACAGTTCTTCTCATCACTGTTGTCTCCGCAGTCATCTCTGCCGTCACATCGAGCAAACGGGTGGAACAGGGCGCCATTGTCGCAGGCTGAAGGGGCTGGGGGACATAAAATCAAATCGGTTATAAAATTGTTGTAATATTCAACTTCAAGCTTTTTTTTGTTCAGAAACACAGTGATGAATACAAATAAAAGGACACGGACTAAGTGACTGCGAAATCAAGTTAGGTGGTACAAGTTATATTCTCGCAGCCACTTTTACAATGGGGAAAAAAGGCGTTTACAAGACATTTGAAAAGCTATGGATAGCATGAGTCAAACATCCCATCCCAGAAGAGAAGGAAAGCATAGCAAGTTTGTTTCCCTGTGTGTTGGGGATTTTGATGCACATGGTGCGGCAACTCGGTTACAAGGCACAAGACTATTGATGGTGATGTAGGCTGATGTTCTACGAAATGAGATATTGGGTGCCTTAGCTTAACCCCTATTCCTAAGTACCTTGATGCGTTTCGTATATGATCAGTATATAAAGAGGTATGCAAAGCTAGAAAGTACCACACAAAAAGTGACGTCGAAAATGCTTACGACAATACAGCTCGTCACTGCCGTCCGAACAGTCCATTTTGCGGGTCACAGACGGGATCGGGGGTCTACATCGCCAGCACCACGAGAGATGCATTGTCCATTGGCGCAGCTTTTCTCACCTCGGCCTTGTTTCTCACCTGCATTGAGCATTGAGGAATTGTTGCCACATCACACTTCAACATTGTCTACATTAATGATTAAGGAGACAGACTTTATTACAGACATCGTTTGAAATCATCATATACTAAAAAAATAGGCAGGGGATATCTACAACCTTTTTGGCGACGTCTCAGGGAGGATTCGCAAGAATTCTAGGAATGGTACAGGCATTTTGTCCACAGGAATGGAATGTCCACAGGCATGTCTCTGACCCACATCTACGCCCACATTCCTGGAAACCCTCGGGAGAACCTGTCTACCGGATGGCCTACATGTTCTTTCTGTGACCCCGGGGCTCGTTCACTATACACTCAGGGGAGGGAGGGAGGTACAAGGCTTCCTCAAAATCATAAAATCATGGAAGTGCCATGCAAACAATAACCCTAATAGCAGTCAACGTCGCCATGGCAATGTATGTTTTCATTGCCAGTCTTCTTGTGTTTATAGTAGTACCCAGGGCACACAGTTTAATTAGTGATCCTGCCTTAGAGGAATGGAATGGTGACATAAAGTCCACCTTCTAACACAAGCTCGAGCGGAACCATTGTTTGACTCCCTCTCCGAATCTTCTTGTCCTCTATGTACCCGATATGTATGTTATCATGCTTAACTAAAACTTTTGTTCGTCTTTTTCTGATGTTCTTAAGTTGGGTGATAATTATCTCGATAAAAATGGAGGCATTGTTTTGTGCGTGTGTTTCCGCATATTTGTGGTCATCAAAACGTAAACGTTCTGGATAGATTGTGATGATATTTGGTAGACGAAATTCAAAGTGAAGTATGGCATCCTAGCGGCTTCCCCTGGTACTACAACATAACTCTTCTTTGCATCTACATTCCTGAAGAGATCGTGGCTAAATGTGTCTACTCACAGCAGTGTTGTTCGTCTGTATTGTCTCCGCAGTCGTCTCTACCATCACACACTTGGTCCTTGTAAATGACGGCTCCGTTTGCACACATTCCTTTTGTTGTGTTTGATTGCGTGTTGAGGGACAGAAACAGTGACATGGAATTAGAGTCAAAATGTATCACCCGTGCTCTGTGATACAGATTTCACGTATTCAGTCACAGAAGTCAACTTTCTGTCGTACAGGTTCTGTCTTTGGAACTGTGTTTCGTCCCACTGCTATTGAACGTACTTCGCCCGCGCGAACCCCCTATTATTTTTCACGGTTTTAGGCCACACGAATTTTATGGATGATATCCTCTGAAGACCCCCAAACTAGTGCGCGCGGGCGAATAAAAAAATTTCGGCCAAAAATACAGATGCTACTTAACCGCGGGAATACAAGGCTGGTATTGTGAATTCGCGGCATTACATAGCAACGCACACGCAAGCAGGCACATGCTGGCTTTTTGCGGAATTTATGAATCGGTACTGTGCGCATGTACTGAGTTCTTGAGTCGTGGAGCTCCGGTAGCCTGGGTGCCTGGCTCCCTATTGTCACTCACTACAATGGACTACCCAGGCCTGGAGCCAGGCCAGAGCCTCGGTGGACGCGATCTTTTTTTTTTTTGAGAACAAGCGAAAATCAATGCGCGCGCGGATGTCATCCATAAAATTAAGTCAGTGTGGCCTTACTGTATGTGGAGAACTCAACTCACCACAGTCCTTCTCATCACTGTTGTCTCCACAGTCGTCTCTGCCGTCACATCGAGTGGCCGGGTGAGACAGGGCGCCATCGTCACAGACTTAGGAGCACAAAATCAAGTCACTTATAAAACTGTTCTGTCGACGTCCACGACTGCAGGTTTTTCTGTGCCACTCGGGATTCACCCGATACACATACCATTTTAATATAGTAACTACTTACTAATGGTGACCACCGTTATATAGTAACTAGTAAGCTAAGAGGCTATCTTAATATCCTAGGATGTGACCGTTATTAGTAACTCAGTTCCTTACTAAGGAAGTTAACGGCCGGGGCAGTGATTTTACAACTCTCGCGAGGACTGCACCGTTAGATTTCTATAGTAAAGCAGTGAGTTACTAATAACGGCCACATCCTAGGATATTAAGATAGCCTCTTAGCTTACTAGTTACTATATAACGGTTGTTAACATTAGTAAGTAGTTACTATATATGGTATGTGTATCGGCGCGGGATTGGGGTACACATGGCGCGGTAACTCAGTTATCAGATGGGTTCCACGGCAGCAGGCTCTGACTTGCCATGCCAATCTTATAGCCGTGGAGCAGTATATAAGTCTTCATGTAACTACATTCTTCGAGAGTAAAGAATATTAATGGTCCCCTTTTGTTTTCAGCTGCTAACCGAATCCAGGCAAGGCATGCAGTATCCAAATAGTGCCAAGACACCGGTGGTCGGGTCTACGCTTCTTTGACGACAAATTCCCGTGGCCGTGGAACTCATTACGTTTGGGTATTTTCCGGGATTGTTCAGATTACGTTTTAAGCCCGAAAACAATAAAGTTATCAACATTAATAAAAAAAAACAAAGCTTAACGTTACCTGTTGAATCGTCAATCTACATTCCCGGTAGTAAAACTAAACTGGGATCAGTACGATTAACTTATCCGTGGAACTTTCACAACTAATTTTTATAATAAGTAGAGATGGCGCATACCTTCATTCAGCTGGCAGATGAATCCCCTCAGCACGTTGCAGTCTTTTTCATCCCAGGAGGATCCAGCTCCCCAAAATCCCACACAGCCGCCGGGACCGTTAGCTACGTACGGTTCACCGGGGAGCCAGTTGGCATAGCCGGATGATGTCAGGTTCTGGCCGTCCTCAAATACCCACTGGCCGTCACGCAATAGCGTCAGCCCAAACCAGCGACCTGGTACTACGTGTGGTAGATTAGCGAGAAACGTATTGGTGGCACTGTCCTTCGGCATGGCTAAAATCCCCCCGTCTGCCGCACAGGTCTGATTAGCGCCGTCGCGCGTCTTCTGCTGCGGAAAGCTCTGGTAGCAAAGACCGTTAAACTGGACGTAACCCGTCGTCTCACAGTCTGTTGAGAGAAAAATTGACGGGATGTTAATCTTATTACTGTGTGGTATTCTTGACTGTTAAAGTAATTAGCCTTCGGGCATGAGTTTGCAATAAACTAAATTAAAGCCTTTAATTTTTATTAAAGGGGCTGAATTTTGAATCTTATATTCGCGAATACGATCTTGTATGAGACGTTTATGTTAGTATGACTGATCTTAATTGTTTGTCCTTTAATGTTAAAGGAATTAGAGAAAAAGCTAAAAGACCAAAAGCTGATGTAGTATTTTTACAGGAATCACACATAACTCCAGAAGTTAAACATGAATTTGATTTAGACTGGGTGGGAGAGGTTTCCACTCTTGTGTTTCCGTTTACTTCGGACTAAAATGTAATGTAGAAAAGTTTTTGGGGTAGGGAGGAAAATCCGATGGGGCATATCTGCATAGGAATGCCCCATGCAGGAATGCCCAATGCAGAGCTGCCCCATGTAGAACTCCCCATGTAGAACTGCCCCATGCAGGAATGCCCATGTAGAACTGCCCTATGCAGAAATGCCCCATGCAGGAATGCCCTATGCAGGAATGCCCTAAGCAGAAATGCCCTATGCAGGAATGTCCCATGCAGAAATGCCCTATGCAGAAATGCCCTATGCAGGAATGCCCATGCAGAAATGCCCTATGCAGAAATGCCCCATGCAGGAATGCCCTATGCAGAACTGCCCCATGTAGGAATGCCCCATGTAGAAATGCCCTATGCAGAAATGCCCTATGCAGGAATGCCCCATGCAGAAATGTCCCATGCAGAACTCCCCCATGCAGAATGCCCTATGCAGGAATGCCCATGTAGAACTGCCCTATGCAGGAATGCCCAATGCAGGAATGCCCTATGCAGAAATGCCCCATACAGAACTGCCCCATGCAGAAATGCCCCATGCAGAAATGCCCCATGCAGAAATGCCCCATGCAGGAATGTCCTATGCAGAAATGCCCCATGCAGAAATGCCCCATGCAGAAATGCCCCATGCAGAAATGCCTATGCAGGAATGTCCTATGCAGAAATGCCCCATGCAGGAATGCCCCATGCAGAAATGCCCCATGCAGAAATGCCCCATGCAGAACTGCCCCATACAGAACTGCCCCATGCAGAAATGCCCTATGCAGGAATGCCCTATGCAGAAATGCCCCATGCAGAAATGCCTATGCAGGAATGTCCTATGCAGAAATGCCCCATGCAGGAATGCCCCATGCAGAAATGCCCCATGCAGAAATGCCCTATGCAGGAATGCCCCATGCAGAAATGCCCTATGCAGGAATGCCCCATACAGAACTGCCCCATGCAGAAATGCCCCATGCAGAACTGCCCCATACAGAACTGCCCCATGCAGAAATGCCCTATGCAGGAATGCCCTATGCAGAAATGCCCCATGCAGAAATGCCTATGCAGGAATGTCCTATGCAGAAATGCCCCATGCAGGAATGCCCAATGCAGAAATGTCCCATGCAGGAATGCCCTATGCAGGAATGCCCTATGCAGAAATGCCCTATGCAGGAATGCCCTATGCAGAAATGCCCTATGCAGGAATGTCCCATGTAGAACTGCCCTATGCAGAACTGCACTATGCAGGAATGTCCCATGTAGAACTGCCCTATGCAGAAATGCCCTATGCAGAAATGCCCTATGCAGGAATGTCCCATGTAGAACTGCCCTATGCAGAAATGCCCCACCGATGCAGAAGTGCCCCCCGTAGTAAAATAGATGATTGTAACTTCAATTTTTTGTCATCAAATGCCCCATGCAGAAATGCCCCATGCAGAAATGCCCCATGCAGAAATGCCCTATGCAGAAATGCCCCATGCAGAAATGCCCTATGCAGGAATGCCCCATGCAGAAATGCCCTATGCAGAAATGCCCCATGCAGAAATGCCCCATGCAGAAATGCCCCATGCAGAACTGCCCCCACCGATGCAGAAGTGTCCTCTTTAGTAAAATAGATGATTGTTACTTCAATTTTTGTCATCACTGGTATAATCTTTGTAGTTTGTTTCCACCTAAGCGTTTGAATGGTCTTTTTGATCTTTCGTCCGTATGGGCCACCGTACTCTTTGAGCCCCGCCCACTTCCGGTGTCAGTTTTCCAAATACCGGGGCAACCAGCTGGAGATTGACAGTAGGGCATTTCTGCATGGTAGGGCAGTCCTGCATAGAACACCGGCTTGTCGTATATGTTGCTATGTACTGCCGCGAATTCACAATACCAGCCTTGTATTCCCGTGGTTTAGTAGCATTTTTATTTTTGGCCGGAATCTTTTTTTATTCGCCCGCGCGCACTAGTTTGGGGGTCTTCAGAGGATGTCATCCATAATATTAAGGGGGTGTGGCCTTACCCAGGTGGCAGATGTCGCAGCTGTCTCGGCAGTTGACGAGCATGTAGTCGGGGTTGTTCTGACACTCGCCGATGCCGGCCCAGTAACTACAGCTGTCATGGTTGTCCTGACAGGTGCTTCTCTCAGATCCTGCACACAAAGGAACACATCTCGTGTCTTAACATGAACGGTTTTACTAAAGCGCATTATTTTAGATTCTCACAATGTTGATTGTGTGGTGTATTTCATGGTGCATATGAACATATTTGAATAGCACGTCTCTGTTTAGCAATAAAAAGAAGAAACACCAGATAAACATATGGATTAGACTATCTGTGTGTTCTGTGAGTTTGCAAATAAAGATTATCATTAATTTCATTTGTTATGATCCCCCAAAAACATGAAATCTGCCCAGAAAGGCGCGGCATGAAGTACTGTTCAATCAGACGACAGCTAAAATGACGTCTAAACAACATTTATCTAATCCGTGCGCCAGGCAGAAGCCTTTTTGCCAAATATAACACCTTACAAACTCATCGCAAAGAAAGTCCTCCTTCGAGTATGAATGGTTTACAGTTTTTCATTAAGTAGTATTTCTACAAAACACAGGGGGTAAACTGAGTATGCTAATGGCCACAGACAAATAGCTAGTAGCTACACACCTGTTGTCGCAAAAGCACCTGACAGGCAGCAGCACAGCCACCACAGCAGCGCCAGTGAAGTTCCGGTGATCCACAGGTTCCCCATTCTGCCGCCAGTGTTGTGTTGTGCCAGCTCTTTGTAGTGAACCTCTCTTTAAAAGTTCCGTCGCGCGATTTTGCCGTACGGCAGGATTCTGTCATCAACTAAGTACTAAAAAATGGCGCGCGTGGCATTTCATTTCGCGGCACGAACTTTCGTGTCACGAAATAAGGTAACCATGGGAACGGCTACCAAATAAGGTAACACTTGGGTAGAAGTTATGCAATTAAGAGAAGTTATCGAATATTTATTTAATTAGTTGCCTCCCTCCGATATTTTCTGACATGTCCTTTCTGAATTATTCAATGACTGGGGCTATGCGACTGCCCGTTCCGGTACCGGAATTTCTAATTATAGTAAAAACAAATATTTTTGTGCCCATTAAAAGTATTTTAGATGGGTCATTTTTACTGTATTCTAAATTTGGACCTTTTTTGCTGTTATTCTAGATCATGAAAGATTTCATATGAAAGATCATATCTGTAGTCTTCTGTTTCTATCATTGCTGATGCAAAGGAGCTGCACTTAACACCTGCTTAAGTTGATGATGATCTTAAGGCTCAAAGAGCTGATCTTTAAAGTGGTTTCAATGGAATTGCAATTTTTTGCTAAATAGAAGGTTTGCAATCTTGTTTTGTCTTGTCTTGTACTTTTTACCACACATGAACGAACGAACGAATGGTTGGAATGCTGGATTTTGGATATTTGAAAGTCTTCTTCGCATATCATGTACAGCCCTTGGCGCAGTCCTTGTAAAATGTGTCAAAACTGACTGACTAGCACCCCAACGTTTCTGTCCATTGCACTGAACTTTGGAGGAAATAGTTTAACTTCATTGTTGTGTGACTGAACATTTATTGTGTAACGTGTGTAACTGAGCAATTGTGTCCTAGCTGGGCACGGTCTCATTTTTGACAAAACGTTCCTCATCCGCAACTCTATCTCTCTGCCTGTTTGTGTTGTCAACGGGTGACACGACAGCACTGAAGGCATGTTTGGCATTTGTGTCTTTATTGGTCGCGAGACAAACACGAAAATAGCTGGACAAACAGTAACTTTTGACCAAAGCTCACAATGAGCCCGAAAATGCGGGTCGCGTCTGGCAAACAGCCGATCTCGGCATGGTCAAAGTCCTCTGACTGCTGGGCTAGTCCTGAAGGTTGGACACTCTGGTACATTTTAAATATTAACACAAACATTAATATAAACACTGTAAATATTTTTTATTGGCTCAGCAAGAACATGTCGTTACATGAACAGCCATCTAGCGATAGCTACATGTATTATAAAGGATTCACTCTGCTAGAGAATACAGTCAATAGGTTACACACACAATCAATACGATACTTGGTTACAGAGCTACATTCGGTATTTACATACCCTGCTGGTATGTGAAGGCCGCTTCTACATGTACTCCAATCTTCACCAAGTAGATGTTGGAGGGTCATTTTCTAATTCTAAACGGCTTTGGAGCTCAAATGTGTCAGCCGAAAAACAGGGTTTTCTCTGAAAACGATTGTCATAAAATGTTCAAAAGGAAATGAAGATTATATATACTAGTATTGAAAACTGTTTTCTTCAGAGAGGCATTCATGACAACATGACTTTGCGGTCGTTGTTCTCACCAACGACGGGGTAACGACGATTCGATGTCGAGATTCTGCCGTCCACAACCCATCGCACGATCTGCTTGCCTGACGACGAAGGAATTTCTGAGTGTTCGACAATCGCTTTCGTCATGTTGACATCCCACAACGGTTAACTATAAGACAGCACGTAGGCGCCAGGCCTAATCAATGAGTTTATCGCACCGAACTCTGTAACGTTAAACAGTACATAATTAGTTTGTTCCCTATAAGTATAAGTACCAATCTCAGGCTTGCTCAGACCTGTCCCAGAATTCAGACCTCTGCCGTGCGTGTGACGTTTGTTGTCAGTGTGATTAGGCCGTTCTGTGTACAGGCATGTGGAACAGATAGCCTTGTTCCTCGTGTTTGTCATGTTTTGTTTGTCTGTGGGCGCGCAGTCCTGGCCCGTTTAGCCGCCTAAATGTACGGATTGGCAGGTGACAGGTGTGTACAACAGAGGGAGGTGTGCCCGGCAACTAAAAGAAAGTATTAAAACGACAAGTGTACACACATCCGACAGGTTTAATGTGAGATCTTACAATGCACGTCTGTCAGGTATGTTAACACTGCAGACAGCAAACGGGTAAGTGGGCGACTTAAAAGCGATTTACCCGGGCAAGGGGTAAAGGCAGGTATGTCAGTTCCCGTAACAAAGAGTGACATAGATTGACCTAAAAGAGTATATTTTCTTTAGTAGGCCACTTTTCTGTCAAACTATTTTAACATTTTGTTACATACTTTTTCATTGTGTTTTGATCAAATCAGTTGTTTTTACTATTTGCATGGTACTGTAAACAGTTACATTAGATTGTATCAACAGCCAAACAACCGAAACAGATGCCTGTCACCCTAGGTACCTTCTCCAAGACAGGAAAAGGGGAAGTGAAAAAGTCGCAGAAAGCTGTAGCATAGTGGCAGATGGTGGATAAAGTATAACCCTGCCACAGCAACTGTCACTCCCTTACTAGTATGCCTGTAGGCTCACGTTGGCAACCGTCGTATGCTACGAGTAGCGTTACTTGTGGTGTCACGACATGCTGGAGGGGCCACGCCCACTTCTTCACTTCCCGAGGAGGGGTCAGGTTTCTCCGCATTACAGAGTACTTCCCTCCCAAAATCTGCAAAATAGTCAGTTCTGGCAGTCGTCAATGAGATAAAAATTGTTTCAACTAGGAATCATTGTTCTTCAGACGAAGAAAATTCCTGCCTGACCCTTGTCAGTGATATCACTAGAGTCTTCAATGTCGGATCATCGCACCACGTCAGGTGGTATTCTTGAAATAAGAGCTTAAACAAAAACATAAAAAATGAAAAATAAATAAAAATTTAAAGTTGGTAGAAAATAACTGAATTAAAATTAAAAAATAATAAGTTGAAAAATAGTGAAATTTAAAGATTTAAAATTTGAAAAAAATTAAAAAATGTAAGAATTTTGAAATTTTAAAATTGAATTTTTTTAAATGTTTCAAAAGAATAAGAAGAAAAAATTAGGTGTGGTTACCGGGCATAGCGGCGGCCGGTCAGGATCGATTTTCGGATCCTGTGAATGAAAGAGTTTCCGGCCAAATATTAACCAAACTGCCGCGATTGACGTCATTTCTCCCGGCAGGCGTCGCGGGTCGCTTGCTTACTGACGCACCGGGGGTCGACCGTGGCGACTTTCGTAGTTTTCTTACAAGTCTGTAGGTGACTCACAGCACACTGCATAGAAATTGAAGAGTCACATTAAATCAATCAACGCTTAACATACCTTTTATGTTGTTGTTTTGCAGAAGGAAATTAACACGCACAAATATTGTTACAGGAGTCCCAGAAATTACTGTATTATATTGTATTATAGTCCTGAACTCCACATGAGACATGAGACATGCCTTCAGCTTCATACTTCCAGGGAATAGGGAAAACAATTCCATCGTCGATACACAAACCTTGTTGACATGGACTGAAGGTCGGTAGTCAATTAACTACAGGCTGACCTGTGCGGTACGCAGGCCCCGCACGGAATGTGTAGTGATTGGTCCCGGCCTTCCGCAAACAGCGGAGTGCGTATTGTTTGTGGTGACACGTTACGGTTCACAACGTCCAGCATTCCACCGGCTCCACATACATCCGCGTGTCATGCCGACGCACCAGCAACACCTGTCAACCCCCTGACTCCCCCCACCCCACCTCCTCCCCCCACC